GCTTGGTAAATGTTTGTGCAATACATGTGGTGACATCTGAGCTCTTTTTCTGGCTTGGGCTGGGGTAGGGAGCGCGGCGGGGGTGTTAGTTGGGGACGCGTTGAGCTAAACAAAAAATAACTAAGACATCTTAACTTCAGTAGGACCCGCGAGGGCGGGGACAGCGTGCAAGGCAGCCAGCCAGACGTGCCAGGTGGCGCTGGTGCTGCGTGTCCCGCCACAGGCGTGGACCAGAAATGCGGACACACGCAGGCGCCCGCCAAGCAGAGGTTGAGCTCCGCACGCAAGCCTGGGCTCTTTGTACTGCTCCCTGCCCCCATCCAAGAGCGCACGTCGGGGGCTCCAGCCAGACTCCGGGGCTGATCGCCCTCAGCCCTACAGTGAACGAGAGACTAGCTCTTTAAGAGCACCGCCCCCCGCCGCCCTCCCACCTCGCGTGACTGTGCTGGGACCCGCGCTGGGACTGGGTTTGGGCGGCCCTTGGGGCCCTTCTCACGCAACTCCAGCACCGCGCCCCCTCCAGGTGGGGCAAGGATGGGCCGTGTGACCTTTGCCCCCCTGGAGGATGTACCAGTTGCACGCACGCTAGTCGGGGAAGGGATCCGCGCCTGCACCCTCCTCCTCTGTCCCAGGTCCCCTTTCTGTACCCTGCCCGGGGCTTCCCTCTAACCCTTTCCTTAGCTACCTGGAGCTAGTTGCGCAGCCCCACTGGCAGCTAGATCTTTCTGCCCCGCTAAAGAGTTAGTGCGGTGGTCTCGTAGGATAAGCACTGGACGGAGAACCACAGGGTCAGCTGTTCGAGTCCATCAGCCGCTCCGCAGGAGATTGAGGCTTTCTGCTCCCTCGAAGATTTATAGCCTCGGAAACTCTACAGGGCGGTTGGAGCCCACCAGCCGCTCGGCGGGAGAGTGAGGCTTTTTGCTCCCTCGAAGATGTAAACTCTATACAGGGTCGCTAAGAGTCGGAAGCGGCTCACTATGAGTTGGAAGTGCCTCCACGGCACCCAAGCAACTACAAAGGCCAGTAGGTTCTGTGGAGAGGTACCCCTAGGTTGAAGCATACCTAAGGTAACCCTAAAGGCGACGCGGAGCCAAGAGTGCCTCGCCGCCATCCAATCCCATCCTTCGGTCCAGGAGTTCCAACTCCTCTCAGGCGCCCAGGCTATAGGGGGCGGGAGCTGGTCCCCCGGCGCCCCTGGCCTTTCGGGTCCCGTGACCTTGGGGCTGGGGTCGCCGCGCTTCTCACGCGAGCGGGGACACAGTGATCCAGCAGCCCCGACTCTGCGTGCCAGTCCCGGTCGGCTTGCAGGTAGGGGGAGCGCTTGCATGTCCAGGATTCCAATAGGTGCAAGCGTGAGTGAGAGGCGTCCCCAAGCCTGGGAGTGGGGTCACCATACCATTTCTCTGGCTGTCCCAGGACTTATTCTTCAACCCCACCTCCACCTCCACCCCTGCCTCAACTGGGTACTGCGCTGTCCATGGGGTGTCTTGGAATTGAGGAGTCAGTCCAAGGGGTCTCAACTTTCACCCCTTTCCAACATGCTCGCACCCAGTGGATTGTTGCCTGTTTCCCTGTCTCCACCTCTATCCTAGAGTTATTAGCGCCCCCCTTAGGCTGTCCCTCCCCCTGTCCCTTCTACTGGCTCCAGGGAAGGAGGCGTGGCCCGGCACACAGTCTCCTATAAAGGAGGCTGGGCCTTTACCCTGAAGGTGACAGTTCTTGGAAACTTCCCCACACCTCCTTGGGGGTCTCTGGAACCAGAGATCAGCTCAGGACCTCCTCATAGACACAGGTGAGTGCTGGGAGCTTGTGGCTAGCCCCTTAACTGCTGATAGAGGAAAATCTTGGAGCCTTCAGGTCTGCCTTGTTGTTGTTGTTGTTAAATGCCGTCGAGTCGGTTCCGACCCATAGCGACCCTGTACAGGGTTTCCGAGGGTGTAAATCTGCCTAGGTAGCCACTAGTTCAGCTCCTCTGAGAACCGAGACTAAGAATGTCCTAAGAGGCCAGACAGTCAAGTCCGCTAGTTGGGAAGCTGAGGTCAAAGGAAGAAGAGGACTTACCCAAAGTCCTACGCTCCCTTTCAGGCTCCAGTTCTACCACCCACTGAGTCCTGGGCCACCTTGGGATTTTCCCATCAGGGTTATAGGGAGGCTGGACAGAGGAAATAACTGAGAGAATGTGCTGCTCCTCCCTCAAGCTGTGTAATAGAGGGGCTTCTCTTTGGGTGGTTTGTGGTAGATATAGAGGGGACAGGCTGCGTTCTTCCTAGACTACTCTGCTCTATCTAAAAGTTACCCTGTTGTCAAGTCAGTTCCAATTCACAGTGCCTGCCCTTCTAGAGGATTGCTGGTGGGTTGTAAAGTTGGTTCCCATTCATAGTGACATTGTATAGGATTTCTGAGGAACAGCTGGTAGGTTTGAACTGCCTACCTTGCAGTTCACAGTCCAGTGCTGATCCTACAACACTTTACCAGGAGCCCTTGTTGTTGTTGTTGTTGTTGTGAGTCTGTTCTGACTCATAGCGACCCTGTATAGTACAGTTTCAGAGGAGCAGCTGGTGAACTTGAACTGCCAACCTTGCAGTTCAAAAGGCTTTGCAGTCTGGCGCATTAACCCACTCCACTAGGAGCCCTAGGCTAGGTTTATTCTCCTAAGGGGTGGCTTGTCAGAGCTGAGATGTTCTGGCCTGGACAAGAGCTACTCAAGGGACTTCTGTCTGTATCCTGTTGACCATCTTCCTTGTCATCCGTTGTGGGGCAGTCAGTGTGTGAGACTGGCAGCTGCAGGGAACTGGAATAGAAATGTGAACCAAAGCACTCACCTGTCCCATCCCCTTAGCCTACCATCTTACTAAGGCTGGAGGTCCTTGGGACACCTATTGTGCAGAAAGTAGCACCATGCAATCTAGGTCCTGACAGTATGAGCGTGCTTTGGGATTCACTGCCTCCAGGAAGCTTTCCTAGATTGTGAAGATGTCTATCGTACTTGTAATACAAACCTTACTGTTCCCGTGTGGTGGGACCCCTGTCTTATGTGGTTCGTAGTGGGGGAAATTCACTAAGACTGTGAGGTTCCCGAGGGCAAATCTGAGGACCCAGGTAGGTTGCTTTTGCCCTAGGCTCCCTCTCAGGTGAGATGACTGGGCCCCTGAGAGACAGTGACCAGTTCAAGGCCTCTCCATAGAATCTGGAACACCAGGTCTCCTGAATTCCAGTCCAGGACACCAAGCAAATGCTCAGTCAGAGCCTGATGCTTTGGAAAGAGAGGTCCATGAATTTGTACTCCTCTACAGATTGTCTTGGTGTGGCACTATGAGTTAATGCGCTGGACGGCAAGGTTGGTTTGAACCATAAAGTCGGCAGTTTAAGCTCAGCTGCTGCTCCTTGGAAACTCAGTGCCTGGAGTCAATGGCACTTAACAACAACAGGAACAGCAGCTTGTCCTAGACTCCTGGTGTGGTGCTGTAGGATCAGCACTGAACTGTAAACTACAAAGTCAACAGTTCAAATTCGTCAATCAGCTGCCCCTTGGAACTCTTATACAGGGTCACTATGAGTTAGAACCAACTGGACAGCACTTAACACCAGCAGCAACAGATTGTCCTGGAGTCCTGGTGTGGCCTTGTAGCATAAGCACTCGACTGCAAGGTTGGTTTGAAATGTAAGATTGGCTGTTCCAACTCACCTGCAGCTCCTGAAACCCTCTACAGGGTTGCTATGAGTCAGAACTGACTCGATGGTACTTAACAACAGATTGTCTTAGACTAAGCCTAGAGAAAAAATACTGTCTCAGCCTCTATTAATTCCAGACCCATTCCTGGTTTCCCTAATTCCAGTCTGGACTTTTCTTATAGCTCTGGTAGTAAGAATTTCCTGGCAAATGGGGGAAGCCCTGACCATTCATTCATTCATTGATAGTTGAGCAGAACAAAAATCCTGCTCTGGATTTCTGTAACTGGAAGCCTCCATCTAGCTGATCTACTTTCAACCTGTGGGTCAGCTGAACTCCAAGAGCCTCATGTACCTGGGGCTGAGAGCACTGTGGCTTGGGAGGTGGCCCTCCTTGTCCCTAGCCTTCTCCCCACTCTGTCCCAGGGTCTTGTGGGACTTCCTGGAGCCTGGGATTGAGCAGTGGAGAACTAGGAGTTCTAGGACAGTTTTTCTATTGATCTGACTACTCTTCCTACTTCTGTGTCAGGAGCTGGAAGCTTCTCAGGGAATTTTTCCCAACAGGTCAGATAGGTTCCTCTTCCAGAGCTCAGTTTCCCCAAATGTGAATTGAGGTTAGAGGAGCTGATGATCTCTCATTCTTTTGATAGCAGTGTTTATTTTATTGCTGATATGTTTATTTAAATCTCTATTAGGAAAAAACAAACAAACTTATACTTTCCCACAGCTAATATTGCTTGGGAGGATACTAACTGGGGAAATTTAAAGCTGACTGTAGAAAGCTGCAATAAATAATATTATGGGTACTATGGAGTCCTGGTGTGGCGTTGTAGGATCGGCACTGGACTGCTAATTGCAAGGTCAGCTGTTCAAACCCACCAGCCACTTCTCGGAAACCCTACACAGGGTCGCTATGAATTGGAACCAACTTGACAGCACCTAACAACAACAAGTATGGTAGGGAAATCCCACTGACATTTGGAAAAGGCTTAGGTTGGTGCAGTGGTTACAAGAGGCATTCTGGGTTCAGGTTACTTGGATTAGGAGCCTAGAGCCAACACTTCTGGGCTGTGTGACCTTGGGTAAGTTACCCTATCTGAACCTCACAACAGCTTACCTCACAGGCTAGTAGTGGACAGGACTGAAGGAATGACTGAGATTCTTGGCATCCAGTGGGAGCTGGACAAACAGCTTTTTCCCACGTCCTCTTCCCTTTCACCCACCAACATGCTGGCACTTTAGGATACTGATACTTCCCACCCTCCAATCTGATGTGCTCTTTTCCTTCTTGCCCTTCCTCTCAGCAGCCACCTCGAGATCTTGAGTTGATCATGCTGTCTGTGTTGGGACTCTCCATCTCAGCCACGGAGCTCCTCCTGGCCTCTGCCATCTTCTGTCTGACATTCTGGGTGGTCAAGGCCTGGAGGCCACGGGTTCCTAAAGGCCTAAGCAGTCCCCCAGGGCCCTGGGGCTGGCCCCTGATTGGGAATGTGCTGACCTTGGGGAAGAACCCGCACCTGGCAATGACCCGACTGAGTCAGCGGTATGGGGACGTAATGCAGGTGCGCATTGGCCAGACACCTGTGCTGGTGCTGAGTGGCCTGGACACCATCCGGCAGGCCCTGGTGCGGCAGGCCGATGACTTCAAGGGCCGACCTGACCTCTACAGCTTCACCCTTATCATTGATGGTCAGAGCATGACCTTTAACCCTGACTCTGGACCAGTGTGGGCTGCCCGCCGGCGTCTAGCCCAGAATGCCCTGAAGAGTTTCTCCCTGGCTTCAGACCCAGCTTCTTCATCCTCCTGCTACCTGGAGGAACACGTGACCAAGGAAGCTGAGTACCTCATCAACAAGTTCCAGGAGCAGATGACAGAGGTTGGGCACTTTGACCCCTACAGATATGTGGTGGTATCAGTGGCCAACGTCATCTCTGCCATATGCTTTGGCCGGCGCTATGACCATGACCACCAAGAGCTGCTTAGCTTAATCAACTTGAATAATGAATTTGGGGATGTGGTCGCCTCTGGGAACCCTATTGACTTCATCCCCATCCTTCGATACCTGCCTAACTCCACCCTGGATACCTTCAAGGACCTAAATGAAAAGCTCTACAATTTCATGCAGAAGTTAGTCAAGGAACACTACAAAACGTTTGAAAAGGTACAGGCTGTGGAAACACAGGTGGGCTTCTGGGAGCAGGCAGGTTCAGAGGCCACGAAGTCAGCATGCTCAAGGAGACTTCACCTGAGATTTAGAAGCCAGTGGTGGTGTGGATTCCATCCTATGCTGGGACACAGGACTCTTTCTTGACCAGCCCTTCCTCCCACGCATTATCTGGTACCATTATCTTGTTGCTATGATTTTAACCTTTTCTCTCCCTAAGGCCAGGAGACAAAGACTTGAACTCTTTCTGATTCCCAGCCAGCCAGCCCAGGGCCCTGCATGCACAGAGAGGCTGTATTCATCATAGTCACTCTGTTCAGGGTTCTGGGCTGGCTGTAAAGCAGTCAGGAAGAGTTCGTTTTCATCTCTTGACTGTAGGGAGAGAAAAGGTTAAGAGCCTAGCAAGATGATAATGGTACCAGGTAATGTGTCCATGGTGCTCCTTGAGTTGGGACTGTCAGTCTTCTGAGGTAGGAGAGAGTCTTGGAAAGGCAGAGAGTAGCTGGGATGGCTTCCTAGAATGGTGGTCGCCTCTTCAATAAACGTGCTAGGGATGGTGAGGGTCCAGATGTAGATATTGGGGTAGGTATGCATTTGGGAGCTTGCTCACTTATGGACCACCCCTACCCAGGGCCACATCCGAGACATCACAGACAGCCTAATTGAGCACTGTCAGGACAAGAGTCTGGATGAAAATGCAAATATCCAGCTGTCAGATAAGAAGATCGTCAGTGTTGTCATGGACCTCTTTGGAGCTGGTAGGAGCTACCCTATAAGTGTTCTTCCTGTACCCAACTGCCCTGACTTGCCATCTGCCTAACTCTTCCCTCTTCTCCACCCTGTCCAGGATTTGACACAGTCACAACTGCCCTCTCTTGGAGCCTCATGTACCTGGTCACGAACCCCAGGGTGCAAAGAAAGATCCAGGAGGAACTGGGTATGTGATGGCTCACGTCAGAGTGCTCAAGGCAGGGCCCTAGCCAAGGTCTGGGCAGCTCCTTAGCTCCCTCTGGTCTTTTGCAGACACAGTGATTGGCAGGGCACGGCAGCCCCGACTCTCCGACAGGCTCCAGCTCCTCTATCTGGATGCCTTTATCCTGGAGACCTTTCGACACTCATCTTTCGTCCCCTTCACCATCCCCCACAGGTGAGGCTCCATTGACCCACCTCTGTCTAATGCTGTGCCTTACCCCAGCCCATGACCGGACTCCGGGCTCGTGGGAGGGACATGGCATGGGAAGCAGCAGAGATATCCATGTGACAATGTGACCCCCAGCCTGACCAAGCTTCTTTTTCTTCCCAGTACCACAAGAGACACAAGTCTGAATGGCTTTTACATCCCCAAGGGACGATGTGTCTTTGTGAACCAGTGGCAGGTCAACCACAACCCGTAAGTTGAGAAGGCTGACTGGGCCCACCCTCTCCAGGCCACTTGCCCATTCCCTGCTCTTTGGGACTGGGGATCAGCCCACTTGATGTCTTCTAGCCCCAAGTTGCCACTTCAGCTGCCTCACTTTGGTTGGTTACAGGAAGCTGTGGGGTGACCCATCTGAGTTCCGGCCTGAAAGGTTTCTCACCACTGAAGGCACCATCAACAAGACCCTGAGTGAGAAGGTGATTATCTTTGGCCTGGGCAAGCGAAAGTGCATCGGGGAGACCATTGCCCGCTCTGAGGTCTTTCTCTTCCTGGCCATCCTGTTGCAACAGGTAGAGTTCAGCGTGCCACTGGGTATGAAGGTGGACATGACCCCCATCTATGGGCTGACTATAAAGCATGCTCGCTGTGAACACTTCCAGGCGCGGCTGCGCTCTTAGTCAGCTCAGTGCTTGAGGGCTAGACCCTGTTGAGCTGGCCTGTGAGGGCAGCCAGGCCAGGGAGCTGGCCCCGGGGGTCTAAGTTTCAACTGGAAATTCAGATATTAGTCCAGCCGACTTTCTGCTATCTGGGTGGAGCCAGATGAATCATGCTTGCTCCCTGCCCTGGACTTGCTGCCCTGCATGCTGACCACAAATAGTGGGCATAGCCGAAGTCACCCAGGAACTGATGGGACCTTCAGAAGTCTGTCTGAGTTTGGAGGTCCGTAGGTCTCTGAAAGTCTCTGAAGAGTTCTCTGGAAGTCGTTGGGGCCAGCAGCTGGCTGACCTTGTGGGTGGTTGACTGACTTGAACAATTGGGAGCCATCAAGACAGAAGGCAATCCAAGACTCTGGCACAGAGGTGGGCGCCTCACTTGAGTCATTTGGCCACATGAGTCTGGAACACTGTGCTTGGGAAGACTGCCTGCCTTCCTCTGTCCTCCTTGCAGGCAGGAACAGGGCTGCCTCCTGGCCTAGTGAGGCAGCTGTCCCTGCCCAAGAGGGACTTGGGACTCTGAGAGCATGCTGGTGACCAAGCTCCAGGACCAGGGCTGTGATGAGGCACCACAGGAGTTATTTTAGTCCACTTCTGGACTCCCTTCTCTATATCCTGCAGTAAAGTATCTTTTTTTAAAAAATGTTTGGATGCGAGGACCTTTTTGTTCTAGCCTGCATTGTACTTGCATGTTTGCTTTGATCACATCTTAGAGCTTGTTGTTGTTGTTAGGTGCCATCGAATTGGTACCGACTCATAGTGACCTTATGCACAGCAGAATGAAACACTGCCGGATCCTGGGCCAACCTCACTATTATTGCCACACTTGAGCACATTGAGCACTTGGCCAATCTATCTTGCTGAGGGTCTTCCTCTTTAGACCTTAAGAACCATTTATTTAATGCAATATAGAAAATTCTAACCAAATATCCAAAAATGTTTTGCAAATAGCTACCTGAGCTAAATAAAGATGTTACCCAGAAGTTCTGCATAAGGAGTTTTGAGTCATGAGTGAAGTCATTACTGATCAACCTGAGCCCAATCTTGTGGCGGTTTCACCATGGGAAATGGGGGAGTAATGGAAGAGGAGGTGAAGCCTCAGACAGCTTGTAGTTTGGGGGGGGACAAGACTCTGTCACCTCACTGCCTTCCTCCCTATCTAACTTATCCCATTGATGAAGCATATTCTCTGGACCAGTCACTAGGCATGTAAAACATAAAATGGTTCCTTGCTTTCAGGAACATCCCAACTTGGTCGGGGAACCTACACATAAGCACACTGTTGCAATTCACTGTGACCAGGGCTCTTTCAAACAGATGGCCACCCAGGCCCAGGAGGCCTACAGACAGGAGTCTGAGGCTCAGAGTTGGAGTGGGTTCTGGGCAAAGTTACCAGGACTTGGGGATATCTGAGCTGAGTCTCCCTTGAAGGATGAGAAGCTGTCTCATTTGGATCTCATGCATCAGATGCTGAAGTCCAACAGGGTAGGTAGGCTCCAGTCACAGTATTGGGAAAAGAGGAGAGTCCTCACCTCAACTCGTAAGTTGAGGTCTGCTCCAAGGCTTCAAATTGATTCATTCCAGTTCCATCCCCTGCTGAGAATTTGCCTTTCCACCCCAGATACACTGAGGCAGAATCTACATTTTAACAAGATCTCCAGGTAATTCGTATCTATCCCTGGTTGATTCCAATAGCTCCCCAGTTAATTCTTCTTTTTAAATCCCCAGGTGATTCTTATGTCTAAGAATCATTTGTGGCTGGGATGGAAGTCTTAATATATCTCATTCGTGGCTGTTGTTGTTGTTAAATGCTATAGAGTCAGTTCCTTGTATAGGGTTTCCAAGGAGCGGCTGGTGAGTTTAAACCACCGACCTTGCAGTTCAAACTGACCTTGAGGTTGAGTGCTTATCCTATGGCACCACACCAGGACTTTATATTTTAGGTGGAAAGGCAAATTCTCAGGAGGGGGTGGACCCAGAACGAACATATTTGAAGCCTTGATCTGCACCATTCATGCCCTGGACCATATTAGACCCCAAGACTGGTCACAAGTAGACAACAGGATCTTTAATTATTGAGCTCTCCAAACCAGATGTTTGGCCCAGATTCCAATGCCATTTGGGATGGCAGAGTGGTGGTACTGAGTAGGGGTGGAGGCTACAACAGCCAGGAAGTGTTCTGACGGAGGGGTGAGAGTGATACATCTTTGGGAAGTGACTCCTCAGCCTAGCTTTCCCTCTGAAGCACTATGAATGGTCAGCTGTTAGTTGTTCATGCAGTGTTATCTGGTAGGGCTTGATAACTCCCACCCACTAAGAGCTTCAGGCCACTGCCAGGAGTGAGCTGAGGTCAGCTGGAGCAACCCTCTTGTGAGGGGATGAGAAAATTGGTGCACAATCATTCTTGTATTTTTTTTTTTTTTTAAATAACTTTTTTGGTTTTCTTTTTAGATTTATAATTGATATATGTTGTCAATGCCCTTCAGCATAAGGCCACCAGGAACACATTTGTTATTGTTGCTGTTGTTAGGAGCCATTGAGTCAGTACCGACTCATAGTGACCCTATGCACAACAGAA